GTATCCTCCTATGAAAAAAAAAAAAAAACAATGAAAAAATAATAAAAAGAATAATAAATGAATAAAAAAAAAATCAAAAAGGTTAGCAAATAAAATTATAACCAAGGGGGTTTTACTAGTAAAACATATTTGATGCTACACCGCACCTCGTATGAACTGTGTGCAATCGATATTTAGTGCTTAATAATCCTGGGTTTCCTTGTTTTCAAAACATGTAAAACATTGAGACAGAGACCAAGAAGGTCGAGACTGACACCTTCCAAAGGGTAGTCTTGAGACCTACAACACTGTGTTACGACAGTGTGGGGGGTCAGGTGACAAGTATTCTAGAAGATTCGCTAGTGTGTTACAACAGCAGGGTCACGTGACGAATATTCTAGAAGATTCGCTGATGTGTTGCGTCAGCGTTGCGTCAACTGACGCTGGTAGCGCGTGTTGAGAGTCTTAGAAGTTTCTAGAACATGCGGTATTATCGTATATAAGTGCGCTAGACAGTGAGAGAGAGACAGACGGAGTCAAAGCAGCAGTGGAGACAGATGGAGGCAGAGACGAAGCAGGCAGAGAGAAAGAAAGACAACGATTACGGTCGGCGGGAACCGAGGATAGCAGACACAGAGATCGGAACTATAATTTGTGGGGACGGACAATTAAGTCTAAGCGCGATAGAAAGTGAGTGAATTGTTGTGAACTATAGTGTGTGTAACTGTGAAAATTAAGTACGTTACAAAGTTGTATTGAGGAAGAATAAACAAGTTTTATAAAGAAAGGACTTGTATGTTAGAAGAATTAACAAACAAACATACAGAGATGTAACAACTGCATCTCAACCATTTCTATATTAGAAGTTAACAATAAATCTAAAATATCATTGTTTCTAGTAGGTTCCTTGACCAATTGGTGAAGACAACCATCTTGAACAATTTCAAAAAAACCTTTCTCTCTCATGTTTTGACTCAAGCATTTCTCAATCTTTTTGCCTGAAATTAAAATCACCCATAATTATGATCTTATTAACAGCTGAAATCTTAGTCTTACTGTAATGTTTCTCATTAATTTCATTGGTGTGTCTGATGGTCCGTAACAAATTCCTGCTAAATGCCTGTTCCCTTTATATCCGCTAATAGAAACCCCAATGGATTCAATCTCCTTTCTATTATCTTTGATATCTTCAACTTCAACAGGATGTAACCCACATTTTACAAATAAAGCCACCACTCCTCTTCTCTTTAGTACTCTATCCCTATTAAATAACCTATAACCCCGTATTTCAAAGAAATTTCTGTCATCAAAATCATTTACATTTAACCATGTTTCAGTTATTCCCATTATATGAAAATCTTCCATTCCTACCAGTGCTCTAAAGTAATCTATTTTATTTCTTATATTTCTAGCATTACAATGGTAACAATTAAGCTTACCCTTAGAACTACTTATATACTCATTTCCTGTGCTATATTGCATTTAGTTCATCATGGTCCTCACTACCATCTAGTCCTAGTTTAAAACTTCCCTTACAACTGAGTTAACAGCCCTTGCAAACAGGCCAGATGCTAACCTACTTAAAGGTAAACCATCCATTCCAAAAAGCTCCCTTCTCCCATTAAGCTGATCCCACAAGTCCAACCAGCATTTAGCCATAGTGACCTACTTATAATTTTATCCCCAGAATTAATTTTTGGCAGTATCCCTGACACAATTAAGTTATTGGTTTTTTCTTTAATTGCTTTTATCAACACCTTGTACTTATTACTTAGCTCCTCTAACCTATCTTACCCTATGTCATTAGCCCCTACATGCTCTTCAAAAAGTACATCATTGCTAGCCCCTTTATT